ACATTCTAAGAAGCATAAGAACAGTTAATAAGTTCGTTCCGGACCATGTAAACAATGGTCTGTTCAATGCAATAATCAAAATGGTCAATTATATGCCAAGCTTATTAAATTTCACCTCATGAAAGGATCTTTCATGACGTTATCATGTGCCAGTGTTTCTGATCGCCTTCGGTGTTGCCAAGGGGATCAGCTTCCTCCGTCTCTCCTCGTAACTCAGTTCGGTGATAAGTCTTGTAGGATCTTATTGATCTTATTATATATATATAACACCGTTCCTAGTTGCGGCATATGCGAGGCTGGCTAACATCTGAACAGCCTACAGGAACCTGTGTAAAGAATCATTCAGAACCTTGTACACCACATATGTAAGACCAAGCCTGGGGTATGCGGCCCCAGCATGGAGCCCGTACATTGTGAAGCACACGACGAAGCTGGAAAAAGTTCAGAGGTATGCCACTAGGCTAGTCCCAGAACTAAGAGGCATGAGTTATGAGGAAAGGCTGCGTGAGTTGCACCTCACGACACTGGAAGACAGAAGAATAAGGGAAGACATGATCACTACCTACACAATTCTCAGAGGAATTGACAGGGGTAGATAAAGCTAAACGTTTTAACACTGGTGGTACGCGAACAAAGGGACACAGGTGGAAACTGAGTACCCAAATGAGCCACAGGGACGTTAGAAAGAACTTTTTCAGTGTCTGAGAAGTTAACAGATGGAATGCATTAGGCAGTGATGTGGTGGAGGCTGACTCCATACACAGTTTCAAATGTAGATATGATAGAGCCCAGTAGGCTCAGGAATCTGTACACCAGTTGATTGATAGTTGAGAGGCGGGACCGACGAGCCAAAGCTCAACTCCCGCAAGCACAACGAGGTGAGTACATAAACACACACACTGACTGAAAGTTAAACGGTCCCAATAGCAAATCCCAACACAACCAAATCATCGAATGAAGTAAACAAATTTGCTGTCCTTAGGTTATTTTACACATTTATGCGCCTTCTGATAGACGTCGGAAAAAGGTGTTCCACTGAGGCACTCTCCAACATCTTCAGAGGCAGAAGCACATTGAATATAAATTGGCCAGTGAGGGAATATACATTTATGTAGGTTGATGATAGATTTTGTGTTATTCTTATCTTGCACTCGTACAGGACGGGTTGTGGGTAGAGGTTGTGCAGTAAACTGACGGATTTATCTTAGTTATGCAGATGGCAGAAAGTACCTAATTGTTAGCGGGATTTTGATAATTGGATGACAGTGTTTTATATGTATTGCTTCAACTATGTCTATTCTCCTGTTGTCGGTGTATCTGTCGATTATTTCGTTATTGGTCAGAAGGTTTTAGTGATGATCAGCTTGTGTGCACTAATGATATGTGATCTTTGAAAGAGCCTTGTTGGCTGTTTATCCACCTTGAAAGATAGTGTTGTTTTGCCTATATATTGAGATCGTTGGGACTAGCTCTCCCCAAGTTGGTATGTACAGGAATAAACGAATGTTTTAGATGCCTTGTCGCCTATGTGGGCGGCTAAAGCTTGAGGGAACAAAGTCTGAGGATGGCTTGACAATCTTGGCCAATGCTTCTTAAGAAAACAAAAATAATAAAAATCCAACACCCTTCCCTTTACGAATAAAAACTATTTATTGTTTACACCTTTGAAGACCGATGTGTTTACAAATGAGGCTTAGATAATCGTAACCCATCCTGAGGCTATGCTGGCCCAAGCTGCGGCCGACCACCTCAGGCTATGCTCGCCCAAGCCGCGGCCGACCACCTCAGGCTATGCTCGCCCAAGCTGCGGCCGACCACCTCAGGCTATGCTCGCCCAAGCTGCGGCTGACCACCTCAGGCTATGCTCGCCCAAGCTGCGGCCGACCACCTCAGGCTATGCTCGCCCAAGCTGCGGCCGACCACCTCAGGCTATGCTCGCCCAAGCTGCGGCCGACCACCTCAGGCTATGCTCGCCCAAGCTGCGGCCGACCACCTCAGGCTATGCTCGCCCAAGCTGCGGCCGACCACCTCAGGCTATGCTCGCCCAAGCCGCGGCCGACCACCTCAGGCTATGCTCGCCCAAGCTGCGGCCGACCACCTCAGGCTATGCTCGCCCAAGCCGCGGCCGACCACCTCAGGCTATGCTCGCCCAAGCTGCGGCCGACCACCTCAGGCTATGCTCGCCCAAGCCGCGGCCGACCACCTCAGGCTATGCTCGCCCAAGCTGCGGCCGACCACCTCAGGCTATGCTCGCCCAAGCTGCGGCCGACCACCTCAGGCTATGCTCGCCCAAGCCGCGGCCGACCACCTCAGGCTATGCTCGCCCAAGCTGCAAGTGACCCTAAATTTCAACGCCCAGTGTAGTTATAACCGGTATTCTCCAAAATATGAATGAATATGATTACATTTTATAATTTTGTATACAGATAGGCCTTGATTAGGTTAGGTTAGGTTAGGTTCTGTTGACAATGATTTATATATGCTGTAAGCTGGTAAAGTATATTGAGAAGTTTGGTATTAGAAGAGACGAGGTGCGAGAAGCACTCAGCAGGGAAGGTCGACCAAGAAGAGGGTCTCAGACAGGGGATCGCGGCTTTATATTTAGCCAGAAAGGGAACCGGAGACCGGTTTAATGAGTATTGATGACTGTAGTTGAGATCGGGATGAATTTAAAGGCTTCCAGCTCATCTCAAAATAGAATAGAGCGCTTCTAACGTAGGAGTGGATGAACTCTTTTACGAATAAAATATTAAAACAGTCAGTTGCATGCGGCATACAAAGGGATATTATATTAATGACAGTCCATCATTGTAAACACTTAATGATCGTTAATTCAGTAAAGTCTAACTCTTTAACGCTTGAAAACTACTTTATAGATGTCTCATAAACGACTGCATTCGAACATTTTTAGTACACTTCTTAAGTTAACTTTCTGTCGTCAAATTGCATCTCTCTAAATAATTCATCCATATATAGCATATACTAATATTTGCCATAAGAACCAAAACCCCTATCCTAATATATTCTAGGACTAATTATATACTAAATATATAATAATATATAATAAATATAGGGGTACCACTGGTGCAATTACTGGGACCCATAGCCTCGGAGAAGAAAATAAAGAGCATTCAGAGAAGCCCTTGTGGGTTCTCACTGAACACTTTAATATTTTCTTCTCCTACCATCCTTATTTTTTGTCTTAAATGTTATTTTATTTTATTACATTGATACTGTTTACAGAAAACACACACATACAACAATCACTGTTCGAAGACCTCATCCAGCTCTTCGGAGTTGGGTGCGTGCCCAAGATACAGCACACATTGCCTCTCTGGATCTGGACACTGAGGCGCTGGAACAGGGAACTGGCCGCTCTTGAGTCTTTAGTTTTCCCAATGAGTTCCTCACCCACCTCCTTTAGGAATTTAAGTGCACATTTACCCCAGGCACCCAGGGTTTCAGAGCCTAACGGCATGAACCTGTAACAACGTTCTAGATCCCTGTACTTGTTAGTTTTCTGGGTCTCCCTGAAGGTGGCCGCCCCGCCTCCCTCAGATGTGCTGTAAGGTAGATAGGTATCAGCCAATGTAGACGCGCACGTGTAGTCCCACACGACCTGTTTACCTTCCCTCCACGGCAGCAGGGTGACTCCGTCTGGGCGTTTTTGGCTGTTGTCAGGCCTGCACAACTGGGGTTCCCTTTGTGCTGGACACCCAGCTGTAGCCAAACTTCTCTTGATGATGTCATTGACTTCTTCATGTCTGGCAATCTTTCTCTGTGTCTTACGACAGATGAGACCATGGCTGCTGTATTGGTCTGCCCGTGTATGGCCGCAAACACACCGGTGCTCGGTGGCGATAGGGGCGGCAAGGCGCAGGGCAACACCAATACTTAAGTCCCTATGGTCCAGGCGGGTGCCCAAGGCAGAATTCGAGACAGCCAACAGGAAGTCCCCAGCATGGGGAGCTTGCACAGCTAGGAATATATCATATTATATTATTATATACTATAATATATAATAATACTTTTAATTCAGGGTTTTTGATTAAACAGTATGTTGAAATGTATAATTGTTTCAACGGGGGTCGGGCCCAGTTTGGAGGAGGTCTTCATCCATCCCTGAAGATGGACGTGGAAGGGATGGGATGTATCAGATGAAACGGCTGATATATATTGCAGCGAATTTAGCTAATGTTTCGAGGACACTTTACCTGAAGACATTAAACCTATATTTAGGGAGTAGAAATAGCCCAAGCTACTATATCCCTTTGAGATGTATTTCTTTCTTATCTCAATAAACATACTTGAACTTGAACTTGAACCTATACCTGATTTATTAACCCTTGCGGGGCGCAGTGTATCCAGGAGCAGCGGCGTCAGTTCGACGCCGAAGGAACGACGTCAACGCTAATTTCAGCGGTGACGATTGTGGCTGTCGCTTCGACCCGGTGCCGCTCTTGGGTACCGTGTCCACTGACAACTTCCTCTCCACTGTCATTTGTCTACTTCCACCACGATAACAACAACTTCCACCACGATAACAACAACTTCGACCACGATAACAACAACTTCGACCACGATAACAACAACTTCCACCACGATAACAACAACTTCCACCACGATAACAACAACTTCGACCACGATAACAACAACGTCTCGTGCTGGCACCACCTGTTAAATATTTGCGACATTCACACGAATCATTACACAAATATTTCCATAAAGTGTCTCGATTTCATAGTTGATATTTATTTTCGCAGAGAGACGCACGGGAACAAGAGGCCAGCTTAATCTCTGGTCCTTGTCCGCGACCAGTTAAACCACCTGTTCTCAACACGTCCACGACGCGTCCACGACGTGTCCACGACCCGTCCACGACCCGTCCACGACCCGTCCACGACCCGTCCAAGACCCGTCCAAGACCTGTGTTGGACCGTGTCGATGAGACTTATAGCACGTGCTTTAAATTATAGCACGTGGTGAATGATATCCCAAGTCCCGTCCAGGTATCCCAAGTCCCGTCCAGGCATCCCAAGTCCACGCACTATAGCACGTCAGGAGCGGTACCATTGGGTGTCCAGAAGGATACCATGCCACCTGCCTGGTACCACTATTACCTGTCTACTGCTTCTCCACATAATACCGAAGACTCCAGAGGTCGTAGTCCTAAGGGCCCGGGTTTGATTCCCGGCGGAGGCAGAAACAAATGGACAGAGTTTCTTTCACCCTGATGTTCTTGTTAACCTAGCACTAAATGGGTGCTTGGGAGTTAGACAGCGGCTAGGGGGCTACTTCCTGTGTGTGTGTGTGTGTGTGTGTGTGTGTGTGTGTGTGTGTGTGTGTGTGTGTGTGTGTGTGTGTGTGTGTGTGTGTGTGTGTGTGTTAGAGAGAAATGTATGTAGTATATATAATAGAGGGGGGAAAATATATTGGTTAGAAAGGTGGAGGTCTAAGAATTGAAAGCTCAACTCTGCAGGAACAAATAGTACACACACACACACACACACACACACACACACACACACACACACACACACACACACACACACACACACACACACACACACACAAGGAAGATCAGTCCTTGACCGTCTGATACACAATCTCTCCCTTCTGGCCCTATTCACTCCCTTTTTCTCCTCTCTTCTTTTCATTTCTTTCCATTTTATACCTTCTCCCTATATTGCTCTCCTCCCTCTATTTATTTTCCAGTCGCTAAACTCCACATTAAAAACAAAAATTAAATACTCCCGTTCCTTATTTAATTTCCATCCCTTTTCCATATCCTCTCCCATCCCCCCCCTACCCCGCCACCCTTTCCCTCACCTCTCACCTCACCTTCCCTCACCTCCCCTCACCTCTCCTAGCCGTTCTTACTCATTGATTACACCGAATTAACGAGCGTGCGGCGGACTCTCACCCACCCCGGGCCGGGCTACGAAAAAACACAAGAAATGACCACTAAAATTATGGGTACCATAATAAACTTAGAATTGTAAGAAAATAGTTGGCAAACGATATCTATTGATGTTTACAGCTGTCTATTGATGTTTACAGCTGTCTATTGATGTTTACAGCTGTCAATTGATGTTTACAGCTGTCTATTGATGTTCACAGCTGTCTATTGATGTTCACAGCTGTCTATTGATGTTTACAGCTGTCTATTGATGTTTACAGCTGTCTATTGATGTTTACAGCTGTCTATTGATGTTCACAGCTGTCTATTGATGTTTACAGCTGTCTATTGATGTTCACAGCTGTCTATTGATGTTTACAGCTGTCTATTGATGTTTACAGCTGTCTATTGATGTTTACAGCTGTCTATTGATGTTTACAGCTACCTATTAATGTTTACAGCTGTCTTTTGATGTTGAATGGTGTCTATTGATGTTTACAGCTGTCTATTGATGTTTACAGCTGTCTATTGATGTTCACAGCTGTCTATTGATGTTCACAGCTGTCTATTGATGTTTACAGCTGTCTATTGATGTTTACAGCTGTCTATTGATGTTTACAGCTGTCTATTGATGTTCACAGCTGTCTATTGATGTTTACAGCTGTCTATTGATGTTCACAGCTGTCTATTGATGTTCACAGCTGTCTATTGATGTTTACAGCTGTCTATTGATGTTTACAGCTGTCTATTCATGTTCACAACTGTCTATTGATGTTCACAGCTGTCTATTGATGTTTAAGGGTTACCTATTGATGTTGAATGGTGTCTATTGATGTTTACAGCTGTCTATTGATGTTTACAGCTGTCTATTGATGTTCACAGCTGTCTATTGATGTTTACAGCTGTCTATTGATGTTCACAGCTGTCTATTGATGTTCACAGCTGTCTATTGATGTTTACAGCTGTCTATTGATGTTTACAGCTGTCTATTCATGTTCACAACTGTCTATTGATGTTCACAGCTGTCTATTGATGTTTAAGGGTTACCTATTGATGTTGAATGGTGTCTATTGATGTTTACAGCTGTCTATTGATGTTTACAGCTGTCTATTAATGTTTAGGTTACCTATTGATGTTGAATGGTGTCTATTGATGTTTACAGCTGTCTATTAATGTTTAAGGGTTATCTATTGATGTTTACAGCTTTCTATTAATGTTTACAGCTGTCTATTAATGTTTAAGGGTTACCTATTGATGTTGAATGGTGTTTAATGATGTTTACTGCTGTCTATTGATGTTTAAGGCTGCCTATTGATGTTATATGTGGTTTATGGATGCTTAATGTTGGTTATTGATACTTAAGGTTGCCTATTGATGTTTAGTGCTGTCTATTACGGTTAGTGCTATCAATTGATGTTTAGTGCTGTCTAAACATCAATTATTGTTATTGTTATTGCTGTTTAATAATCTTTCAGGTTGTCTATTTAGGCTTATGGTTGCCTATTGATGGTAAATGTTATCTATTTATATCTTAAGCTGTTTTTTTTTAATGTTTAGTGCTGTATATTCATGTTTAGGGTTGTCTTCTGATGTTTAATGGTGTCTGTTGATGTAAAATGTTCTCTATTGATGATTGATGTTCTATTTTGATGTTACTTGCTGTACATTTGTGGCTGTCTAATGTTGTATATTGATGTTTAGTGTTTATTTTGATGTTTAATATGTTACGTACATAATTCTGTCTGTTGTGATATCTGCCTGTTTAAGAAAAGGAAAAGAGGGAGAGGGAGGGAGAGAGAGAGAGAGAGAGAGAGAGAGAGAGAGAGAGAGAGAGAGAGAGAGAGAGAGAGAGAGAGAGAGAGAGAGAGAGAGAGAGAGAGAGAGAGAGCTACCACCTCCGCTACAACTGTGGGGACCCGTAGCCTCGGAGAAGAGAATAAATGGCAATCAATTACATTCACTGGAATCATCATATAATTGCCCTAACTTGGGATAATTGACCGAACCAGACATTAGCTCCCTCGCTGTACTCAACCACAGATAGTAAACTGTACCCAACTGAAGATAACAGATTATTTTTTGCGCATATTCAGATTTTATTTGACAATTCAAATTTAACTAAATTAAATTTTTTCCTAATGTGGATGACGGAAATTCTTCAAGTAAAGAGCAACGTGATAATTGGAAATGTAAATGAGAAGATAGGAAACAGCAGTAAATGGGAAGTACACGCGTAAATGCGATAAATATGATGTAAAAGAGAAATAAAAAAAAATGGACAAAGCAGAAACATAAACATTAAATCTGGAAATAAGAAAATATATACACGGAAACTGGCAACGTATATCAACGTTAGATATAAGCTGCAGCCAATATCAAACCGGAGGCCTGATCGAGGACCGGGCCGCAGAGACAGCTAAGCCCCGAAATCATCTCAAGGTAACCTCAAGGTAAGGTAACCACTGATTGGTGGAATACATTTCATTGCCTATTGTACTGTTTACTTGTTTCAACTTTAGCGAGACGTATCATTTACGAACATCGTTCATTTACGAACATCGTTCTTTTACGAACATCGTTCATTTACGAACATCGTTCATTTACAAACATCGTTCATTTACGAACATCGTTCATTTACGAACATCGATCATTTACGAACATCGTTCATTTACGAACATCGTTCATTTACGAGCATCGTTCATTTACGAACATCGTTCATTTACGAACGTCGTTCATTTACGAACATCGTTCATTTACGAACATCGTTCATAAACGAACATCGTTCATTTACGAACATCGTTCATTTACGAACATCGTTCATTTACGAACGTCGTTCATTTACGAACATCGTTCATTTACGAACATCGTTCATTTACAAACATCGTTCATAAACGAACATCGTTCATTTACGAACATCGTTCATTTACGAACATCGTTCATTTACGAACGTCGTTCATTTACGAACATCGTTCATAAACGAACATCGTTCATTTACGAACGTCGTTCATTTACGAACATCGTTCATTTACGAACATCGTTCATAAACGAACATCGTTCATTTACGAACATCGTTCATAAACGAACATCGTTCATTTACGAACATCGTTCATTTACGAACGTTTTGATACTTTTTTCAACGAATTAGAGAATCGGAAGATGGACAATTTCTGTGTTTCTCATTTTTAGTTGTATATTTTTTTTTGTTATCGTTCGCGTCAATATAAATGCTTCGTCAAAATCTAGTCAGTAAGATAGCCATGGAGGAGATGTCGAAGTGTTGGAGGCAATTACAATTATTGTTGAGAGGTTGTGTTTGTGGACTCTTAAGGAAATTTGTATGGAAATATGGAAATGACTTTGATTTATCCTTTTATCAGATGAGTTATCCCTCGCTGTTGCTTTCACACACACACACACACACACACACACACACACACACACACACACACACACACACACACAGGGAGTGTCTCTGTGTGCTGGAGTGAAAGGGAAGGTACTCCATTGCATAAAGGAGTACCTAAGCAACAGGAGACAACGAGTCAGTGTGAGGGGTGAGGTCTCAGATTGGCGAGACGTTACAAGTGGAGTCCCGCAGGGGTCAGTCCTTGGACCTATACTGTTTCTGATATATGTAAATGATCTCCCAGAGGGTATAGACTCGTTTCTCTCAATGTTTGCCGATGATGCAAAAATTATGAGGAGGATTGAAACAGAGGACGATAGTAGGAGGCTACAAGATGACCTAGACAGACTAAGTGAATGGTCCAGCAAATGGCTGTTGAAGTTCAACCCGAGTAAATGCAAAGTAATGAAACTAGGCAGTGGAAACAGGAGGTCAGACACAGGATACATAATAGGAGATGAAGCGGACAGAGAGAAACATCTAGGAGTTGATATCACACCAAACTTGTTTCCTGAAGCCCACATAAAAAGAATAACGTCTGCGGCATATGCGAGGCTGGCTAACATCAGAACGGCGTTCAGGAACCTGTGTAAGGAATCATTCAGAATCTTGTACACCACATATGTAAGACCAATCCTGGAGTATGCGGCCCCAGCATGGAGCCCGTACCTTGTCAAGCACAAGACGAAGCTGGAAAAAGGCCAAAGGTATGCCACTAGACTAGTCCCAGAACTAAGAGGCATGAGTTACGAGGAAAGGCTGCGGGAAATGCACCTTACGACACTGGAAGACAGAAGAGTAAGGGGAGACATGATCACAACATACAAAATGCTCAGGGGAATCGACCGGGTAAACAAGGATAAACTATTCAACACTGGTGGGACGCAAACAAGGGGACACAGGTGGAAACTGAGTACCCACATGAGCCACAGGGACGTTAGAAAGAAATTTTTCAGTGTCAGAGTAGTTAACAGATGGAATGCACTAGGCAGTGATGTGGTGGA